CCCCACACCAAACAGTCACCTGCCCTGCTACCGTCACACCTACGTTCATACTGCGGTATCGCGGTCACTACCTGAAGCACGTAGCACTGACAGTTGAACTAATAAGTAGGAGTGAACACGGAGACAAATATGCATTTATGCAGTGTGATAATTTCAGAGGAATTCACTTTTTACACTGTAACCATGTAATGCAGTGAAGTGCATAGTGATAACATGTGGCAAAATCTCACTTTTATTTGAACAAAATAAAAAAAAATATTTACATGGAAAATTAGATATTCATCTGAAGAGACGGAAATAAAAGAAATTTGGCATAAGTTAGACTAGTAATTTTGCCAGCACGAAGCTGCGAAGCTGTTACGCTCGCACAACAGATACCGCAAGCGTCAAGCAGCTGGAGCCATGGCGCATGCAGTTCTCTGAACCCTATCAATATAAAAATAATAAACGTCATAACACGATGAGCGACTTCCGACTCATAATCGTTGAGATGTTCATAACTGAGATGAATTCTCATCTTATCCGCACCAATCACGCGATGCAGAAAATTTAAAACTAACTAACATCCAACGAATACAAAATAGACGTAATCACTGGCGACAGAAACCTTCAGTATACCTATACTTGATTTCTTCTTGCTTTGAAACGCATTAATAATGGGTCTAGCTGACGCATCACTAATTATTAATTAATAATTTAATTGCTGCACAATCAATTTCGGTAGCACACTTGATGTTATAGTATATATTAAAGGGAGGGTGAGGGAACAGACGCGTGGGTACTCACTCTCCTCTCCGGGACCGAGGGCGGACGGCAGCAGCTGACCCGCCTCCCTCGCCTCGTCGAAACGCGCCATGAGGGCAGGCAGTCTTGTGAGGGGAGACATGAGAATATGAGGGCAGGCAGTCTTGTGAGGGAGACATGAGAATATGAGGGCAGGCAGTCTTGTGAGGGAGACATGAGAATATGAGGGCAGGCAGTCTTGTGAGGGGAGACATGAGAATATGAGGGCAGGCAGTCATGTGAGGGGAGACATGAGAATATGAGGGCAGGCAGTCTACTGATAGCCGCCATTGACATAACAATCGTACATTACCGGTATATCAATCACACAGCGGTAATCAGAAATTTCTATCAGAAATTATAAAGCGATCACAACTCGTTATCAATTATGTAATGATCATATATCTTCGTCAATAAAAATACACCAAAGAACTATTACCGAGTGAAAATATCTACAAGCACATAAATTAAAAAATAAATAATAAACCTGCAACCAAAACGCTACGATTTATTTGCAATAAAATATCTTAATGTGAGTAATATAACTGACTTTGCAGGCGGGACTGGGTATTTATTAGCGAGGTCTGTCCTGAGCCTGTCGCCGTAATGTCTGTAGGCCTCGACGAGCGTGTTGAACGCAGTGTCCCGCACCGGCGCCCCAGGGTCCCCCAACAGCTTCACCACGTGCGGCAGCAGCCGTGAGATCGTGACCGCCCCGGCACCGTGACTGTACAATAAATGCAATCGTAAGAACATTATGCATTTTATTGAACATCAATGCTTTCTGGAATTAGCTTAACGCATTTAATAAACACATTACAGTAAATTAATTAAATAACAATACACATTACAAAAAATTAATTAAATTAATTAAACACATTAATTTGAAGGCGCGAGATTGTGACTGCCCCCAGGCACCGTGACTGTACAATTAATGCAATCGTAAGAACATGATGCATTTTGTTAAACAGCAATGCTTTCCGGAATTAGCGTAATGCATCAAATAAACACATTACAGTCAATTAGTTAAATAACAATACACTATTATTTTGAAGGCGCGAGATCGTCATCGCCTCCCAGCACTGTGATAGTGAAATTATGGCAAACAAATAACACAATGCAGTCAATTAAATAACGATACATTGTGAAAATAATGCAATTAATAACACAATGAATTCAATTACATAACACATATTTAATACAATGTAGAGGATGTGGTTGTATTTTTCAAGTAGATATTAGAATAGGTAAAATAAGAATAGAGCAACTGGACATCCAGCCAGAATTTTGACCTGATACAAATGCAGGCATAAGGCAGTACAGTTGGTAGGTGTTCATATGCGGATTTAGCAAGCATTGCTATCCAATGGAACTGGATAAAAGTATGAGCTTCAGATTTTAGCAAGAAATACGAACAAATTTAAATTTTTTCCAAACATCTTTTTGTGATACCTGCAACGTCTTAAAGCACATTTCATTGCTGGAATTATAAGGCTTTTACTGAATAAAAATGTTCTGAATCTATTATTGTTGATAATTAGAATGGTATTAATGACATAACAAGAGTTTCTAATTAAAAATCGTTGATTTGCAGAGAGGAGAGCTACAGAGCTACACATGTATTTGGACTGGGGGCAGCGTCCCCCCAGAAGTGACACCAAGTTACGTGACTTGTGTATCAAAAATTCACTCGATTATCCAAGAGAAAAAAAGGGTTTCACTTTGGCCATTAGTTTGTTCATTGAATAGGGAGCCTGTGGGCTGCCCCTGTACAGATGACAATAATATGAATGTTAAAGAAAACCCCAATACAGGTAAAATGACAAAACAGGCAGACGTATAATGCCGCACGATTAAAATCTATGCAGTGATCATTAGTTTGTTTATAACTCGATTCCCCAAAGTCAACAAGAAATCAGTAAAATAGAGAATCCTAAGAACATACACATGTCCTAGGGTCAAAATAGGAATCCCTCGCTAGGTACGTCTTGCTTCACCTATGGCGGCTTCACTTCATCACGGGTATTCAAGAAATATTAATGAGAAATTCGTTAATCAAGGTAAGCCATTAATTTATAAAGTACTACTGAAAAAAATTCAATGGTTGATATTCGCTGGTTCGCGGGTTTCTAAGAAAGTTAATCGCCAGATTTAAACATCCCGCAAAACTCGATCGTCAGTAAGAGTAAAACACCAAAATCAATGATTACAAACAACAAATAAATATAATTAATTACGTAAGTATCATCATCAGTCAATCAATCTCCCATCGCAGATTTTACCTATCGCGGCCGAGGTTTAGAACGCAACACCCGCGATAGTTGAAGGCATAGGTACTGTGCAGAGTGGAAATAACTCCGCTTCGGGTCAGAAGGAAATATATGTAGCCGGTATACAGAAAAACTAATCCGTTGGTCCCTTTGTCAATTCTATAAATGTGCTGACTAGAAAAAAAAAAACAATATTTTTACGAAAGTCAATATTCAGCATCCTTATTATCTCTACAAGAAAATAATAATTTATCACCCTTAGCGGGGAAAAGTTTCATGGCATGGACGTAAATCCAAAAAATGTATATATCTGATTTCAAAAGAAATCCAAAACTTTAAAGCTTGTGGTGTAGGCGTTGATAAAAGCTTTATAATTTTTTTCAACATCACAGAACGATTGCAATAGCATAAATGTGTCATAAATCATGATATGTATCTAATAATATAATACCCTAACAACTAGAATAAAAATTCCAAATGTAATATTCACTAATATAAAAAGTCTTAATAACTTTGACCCACGAAATTCAACTCTGGATCAGGCAAGTCGAGACAAGAGAGGAGGAACAAGAGGATTGGCACTGCATCAATATAGCTCTACTATCATCATTACTATAAACCACATTGAAAGGGTTTGCTGCCATAACAATAGTAGTACATTATTTCAACACTACAACTCTGTTCATCACTCTGTATAACTATAACGCACGTTGAGAGAGTGTGCTGGGGGCACAGCAAGAGGGTTAATACATTATTTCAACACTACAACTCTGATTATNACCTAATATTTATTATCTCATATGATGCTGTCGCCTGCACGGTATAAAGTATACTCTTAGTCATGTACCTAATATTTATTATCTCATATGATGCTGTCGCCTGCATGGTATAAAGTATACTCTTAGTCATGTACCTAATATTTATTATCTCATATGATGCTGTCGCCTGCACGGTATAAAGTATACTCTTAGTCATGTACCTAATATTTATTATCTCATATGATGCTGTCGCCTGCACGGTATGTAGTATACTCTTAGTCATGTAATATTTATTATCTGATATGATGCTGTCGCCTGCATGCTATATAGTACTACACTGTTAGTCATATAATATTTATTATCTTATATGTTCCCTTAACCTGCACGGTATAGTATACTCTTAGTGACATAATCTATTCTATATTATCTAATGATATGATGCTGTCACTTGCACGGTATAGTGTACTGTCAGTGATATAATATTTATTGTCTAATTTTACTTTGAAATGTTCCCTCGGATAGCAAGTTGAGAGTCAGCAATACCAGCCTATTGTTTAATATAACTTCACACACCTGAAACTACACCAAGAACTCACGGAAAAGTTAGTAATTTCATGCATCTGAAATGACTTCATACTGAACCAATAAATATAGAGAGAGGCTTGGTAGAATTGTGTTAGTATAAACAGTAGGTTACAAAAAATAAATTCAGGTGATTAGTCATCTACACTTTACTGTGATTCAATAATTTCCTAAAAGTGTCTCAGAAATTCATCACTTGATTATGTTGTTAAAAAGTAAAGGATAGTTGGATCTGGTGTATCATATTCATTCAAAGCATCTAAATATAAAAGATGAGAGAAACTTAAAGCGAATGATGTTTATCAGGACCTTAAGTTGGGAATTTATAACAGATTGAACCAAATCAGCATCAAACATAAGTTGGTAAGTGGCAATGAGCCATTTTATACTGAGAAGCACATGTGTAATTCAGGTAAAAAAGTTCAATTTGAACTGATAATAATTCCCATGGCATCAATCTTTGGCTTCAACATGACCTTTATAACTAGAACAACCATTGAAGAGACAGCCAGGATAGAAGAAAAGTCTTCTATCCTCTGTTTCATTCATTCATTGTTGCAAGATGATAGCTACAAAATCCATTGAGACGCTAAGGACCTAGGGCACGTCACACACCCAGTCTGTCGATGGTGGGGGGGAGGACGCCGCTGAGGTACGGTCTGAAGTCTTCCTTCATGCGCTCCACCAGGGCACACATCACCTCCAGACCCTGCGTCGACACCTGCACACCAAACACATCATTACTCATACAGTCGTTAGTTTTTGTGGTGTAAAGTTATTATTAGTTATTGGGGGATTGATTTTTTGAGTGAGTGTAGTGTTGAAAATCAAGAACTATTGGTTGTTGCAGAGTACAAGTTCTCGAGGTATAATTTATGGTCAGTAAAAGTTCTGGGGTCGTTAGTTCTTGTGGTGTTAAGCAGGGTACGTGGAGTTCACAAGATGTAATATACTCTGTATGAGCAAGAGGGCACTTCTGATTTTCTAATTTGGTGACCTACAACTGAACCTTTCCTATAGAACTCAGCATCAATTTTTAGACCATTTCAGTGACCCAGCCAACCCAATTTTTTAATTTATGAGAAACTATTCGAAGAAATCAATTCTGGCATACAGCACTTTCAGAATGCACATGACACTTGATACTGATCAAAAATTTAACAGAATGTCTGTTTCAATATTTTCTATCAATATAGTTTTTTCATAATCGACACCAATGAGTTTGTGTCCACAACATTAATGTTCAGTCCATCTCCAAATCTACCCCAAGCTACTGCACAGATTAGTGTAATTACCATGAACAAACTCACAAATTTACAAAAAAAATCATACCATTCAAATAAATATAATTCAAGAAGGAATTTAAAAGCAAAGAAAACGCCAAGAAAATTCACCATATCGATATTGAAAACGTTTCGGAGTCCAGCTCCATCATCAGTTTGACTAAACTAAAAATGAATAAAATCACTTTTAAAAGTCAAAATTCAAAGACAGACATAAAACCTAAACAAGACCTAACATTATATCGAAATAAACAGGACTAGTTATGAACAACTTAGTCCTAGGGGTACGACAAGAATATAAAATCCTAGCAATTTACTATTTCCAGATTATAGTAGTAAATTGCTAGGATTTTATATTCTTGTCGTACCCCTAGGAATAAGTTGTTCATAACTAGTCCTGTTTATTTCGATATAATGTTAGGTCTTGTTTAGGTTTTATGTCTGTCTTTGAATTTTGACTTTTAAAGTGATTTTATTCATTTTTAGTTTAGTCGAACTGATGATGGAGCTGGACTTCGAAACGTTTTCAATATCGATATGGTGAATTTTCTACGTTTTCTTTGCTTTTAAATTCCTTGTGAACTTGCACTATAAGCAGACTAATGATATAAGTACTTATAATTCAAGAATATATAGTTATTTGCATAACCATTCCTGAGCACAATTTCATTAATTTGATTTAAGAAATAAAACTTACAGAAAAATATTTCCTCATATATGATGAAAGAAATATATAAAACACAAAGTTTAGGAGGGAAGAGATTTATAATTATGGGACATAATTATGTACCATATGCCAATAGAAAAAAGTTATCTCTAAGCCAACATTGGAACAGTTTCTCATATATCTTCAAAGTAGAGAGGATGATATAATATGAAGCAATAGAAAGGAGATTTGGAATTTAGAGGTTGTTTCCTAATGTTCTGGTAGCAGCTGTAGTAGTTGAGACATTCTTGCACTGGAATGAGTGGTAGTGGTTAACAGTTGTCAGATTGCCTAGGTAAAACTTTAACTGAAATCAACGTAGTTAAAACGAGGTAAAATTGTGCAGACAAACAAGGGGTAAAACAGCAAAATGGTTTTAGAAAAAAAAAAGTTTGCTCTTCTCAGAACACTAATGCAGATAGATTGAACGACTATAGTAAGATAATATATATATATATAATTACTTTCCAGTCAGTTTTTATTTCATTAATAGTTCCTTAAAATAACATTTATTGAACAATCTTTGTTTAATCCAAGGCACATAAAATTATCATGAAAGCTTTAAATTCCTTTTCTTTTATTATATTTTTGTTAGGCATATGCTTCATGTTTTTAATCTTTTCCTAAATTGAGAGAAAGAAATCTTAAATACTGTTATACCCATTAATAAGACAATTGGTGTTGCAATAAAATCACAGGTCAAAAATACTTGCACGGAGGCTACACAATGTGTGTATATATAGGTTAGGTAATACATAACAACCAATCAATAGGTAAATATATAAATGAATGCCAATCTATGTGTACATGTATGACCTTCAATGGGCACACAAGAGACAGAATGGGTAAACGAGTTCCATTCAATGTGTACAACATTTCCATTCAAATAGTATGTATTATACATGGATGCCACTTAATGGGTGCATGGATGATATGCCATTTAGCAAATAAAAATCTAATACCCAATAACCTTGAAGCAATTCTTGTTCAGCAGGTGCATGTCGAGTAATTCAATAACATTTACATAACTGCTTTTAATAGACCAACTCTTCAACTTTGCTGTGATGTCATCATAAAAGGAAGTCATGAACGCAACAAAAGCACAGCTGAGCATGAGCAGCATGACAAGCCAACCATTACTTGAACCATCATTCATTTTACTATAAAATCTTGTGCAACATTGCAACATTCACTCCAATGCTGCATAGGCATGCTTCAATAAAATATATAGGCTTACTTCAATATAATATAATAAAATAACAATACTCGGAACAGGTCCAATCGTGTTTATGATGATAGTTTCAAATGTGAAGATACTAAATGAATGATTTCAATTCATGGTAACGCAACAATATAACAATCAAAGATGAACCCAAACACGCAGCAGGTTTACATGAAGCATCAGAGCTCAAGAGAGCGCCATGAATGGCTGGGCCGAGCAGCTCATGAGGCGCCATGATGTCATCACCGTGCGTAGCATGGATACCGTCCACCACACTGCTGCGTGGCACCGCATGCTGCTTGTGGCAGTACTGGGACAATGTGGCGTAACGTACACTCAGAGAACTAACGCACTGTTGCGTGGCACCGCATGCTGCTTGTGGCAGTGCTGGGACAATGTGACGTAACGTACACTCAGAGAACTAATGCACTGCTGCGTGGCACCGCGTGCTGCTTGTGGCAGTGCTGGGACAATGTGACGCAACGTACACTCAGAGAACTAATGCACTGCTGCGTGGCACCGCGTGCTGCTTGTGGCAGTGCTGGGACAATGTGACGTAACGTACACTCAGAGAACTAACGCACTGCTGCACCTCGTGACGAGGCCCGCTGCTGCATTTATTAACCTCACGTCGCCGCACACTCCGAGAAATGTATCGGTGACATACTCCAAATAGTGACTCACTTTTTGCACGAAGCCCTGATACGCACTTTAGCCGTGCAGAATTAGTTCACGATGACCCACAAAGGATAAAAAGTGAATAGCTATTAAGACAAAGCCTCACTCACTTCTCTGAGTGAGCGGTTGCGGCTGACAACAATATATGATAATGTTTCTTATCTCGAGACTTAGATAGAGTATTAAAACATGGAGTCAGTTTCAGCACTACTTCCGCACTGCCCTCAAATGAATCGCTTGATAAATATTATCCTCATATGTAAACCAACAAGTGATTGCAACAATCAAAATGATGCTCGTGGGGTTAGACTGCATGCAGAACATTTACATCATATATTAAAACTCAGCATCAGGTAAGACAGTGAAAGCGATCCGGCCGTCAAACAGAGCATGCCTTCTGAACATCGGACACCATCAGCTGCCATCAAAACATCAGTCACCATCAGTCGCCATTGTGAAGATACTCAAAAGTTCACGAATTCATGGGTTAGAGCCACGCAAACATAAAGGCTTGAATGCTGCGGATAGATGGACAGTCAATTCCCTCATTGGGTGGCATTGTAGGATCACAGCACGCAAATCCTAACACCATGCGCTTGCCAAGCGTGCATGTGCAGCAGTGACGTGCATTGCGGGAATAAACCTGAGGCGAATATCAAACCACATGAATGAGAATGACGTCCAGCCCGAGGCAACAAAAAATTCCGCAGTGACCGTTAAGATAGGCTGCGCCTTCGATAAGGAACCCAGCAAAAAATTATAAAGCGAAAGCACGAGCGAGCTCAGGAACTTGCAAGAGAGCAGCAGAACGACGCGCAGACCTCTGTAAGTGATAGCACATTCTTAAAATTGTGGCAGACGATACCGAGACCATGGGCCCTACTATCAAAACTCATTCAAGTACACCTGCCGGTCTATAAAGAAGACGTAGCGGCCAGGTACTCGTAGCGGTCGCTCTCTCCTCAGTGAGTGGTGTGATTAGCTTTAGCGTCAGTGATTGGTTGATAAAGTGACGTTTAGTCTGAACTATTTTTGATTGACCGGCCCCAGGTTTGGTGCTTTCATGAATGGCACAGTATTAACGTTATTTTCCTACATGGATATATAAGTATCATGGATTCATTATATTATTAGTATATTATTATATTAGTATCTTCCATAGTTTGCACTCACGATACATGGTTTCATTAGAAGAATACACGGGTGAGAGTAGCTTTGGTTCTATGATCAGGTGGAGGCCACACGTATTTTATTGAGTAATGCTATTTTTTGACCCTCTGTCTACTGACCGTAACTCTCGTTGCCCGGCGTTCAGGAACGGATATAATTATTATTACTATTATTATTATTATTCTACGAAGCAGTTATCGTGGTGTCCGGTTCAAACGAACTTCGAGGCACGTTACATATAAGTTTAATAGCAAACGAAAAATAAATGGACACGAAAAAGGATGAGAACGGATAAAAATGACTAAGCACTTGATTCATAGGCTCTACGAAATAGTGTCGTCTTTAGACGTCGACGAGACACCTGCAACGAAGGAGCCGGTGTTACGAATGCCGGCAGACTGTTCCAGGTCTAGCAGCGGCGACAGGTAACGCTCTATCGCCGAAGGTAGATAAACGTGTGGAACAACGAGGTCCGCTGTTGATGACGTATGCAGTCGTCTTCTAGAAGGCAGATCCGACACGCGCTGCAGATATTACACGAGATAAGGAGGCGCCAGACCGTGAAGGCATCGGAACGTCAGAACAGCGACCTTGAACTGCGTGCGCTGCTGCATGCGTACCCAATGAAGTTCACGCAATATCGGCATCATGCAGCACGTCGT